CACACACACACACACACACACACACACACACACACACACACACACACACACGCACATACACACATACACACAGACATATACACACACAAACACTACTTTTTGTCATGTTCCTCGTTATTGATGCTAACATTTTAACCTATCTGTCTTCTCGAAGATTTTATCCCAGAACATAATGCGTTTATTTCTTTAAGAGATAGGAGATTACATGAAAAGATGCATTCCCATTAAGACAGACTTTTTATGCATTCAGAGCTTCCGCTGGGGGCGCTCGCGGTCTTGGTCTAGAGGTTACGATGTTCACCTCTCATTCAACAGGTCCCGGGTTCGAATCCGGACAGCCATGGAAAATGTTCTCCTCTAAAATGTATTTTCTTCTTTCACCTCCCTCCTTGTTCTCTAACCATGTTCTGTCGTCTGCTTCCGTCTCCACTTTCTGCTTCCTCCCCCACTGCCCCCTCCTCTGGGCTTCTGACTCTTTTTGCAGCCTTTCTACTGCTACTCCTCAGCCCTTTCTTACTGCTGTCTTTCAGCCACACCTCTGATCTTATGGCTGGTAAGATCTAACACCTTTCCTTCTCGGATAAGGGTGAAAAATCTAGGAAGTCCCGTGTACAAGTTGTGCACGTTAAAGATCCCTTGGTGGTCTCAAAATCGACAAGAGTAGGCTGCAGCTGCCACACGGGCAAAATTAAAAATTTCTTGCCAATTGTAAATAAATGTTTAATGTGTTCCTTGCGCTTTTATGACCTCATGCAGTTGCGTGCGCCGTAGAACACAACCACCACCACCACCACCAACAACAACAACAACAATAACAACAAGAACAATAACAAAAAAAACATACTAATACAATAAAGAGTTTGCACCACGTTGCATCAAAGAGGAAATCAAATCCTTTATTAAGCGTCTTGGGCCTTTGTATTCGATGGAAGTTACGGGTGTCTAGGGTAAAGAATACAAGGGAAGCCACCGCGTTTTAAGCTTTTCACTGCTGTGTTGACATATCTACTTACCTGTTTTCTCCTACACTGATTCGCTTACATTAAATTTGTCTACAGGTTTATAGAGGATACCTAAGAAGTCGTATTTGAAGTTTATGCATTTATTGTTCAACCTTAATAAGGAGAAATCTATTTTTGTTGGGGGTTTTTTTTTGGTGGGAAGTTCACGGCATTGCATTCGTAACTGCATAAGATCACATGAGCGAGCGGGACACATTAAACATTTTCAGTGGGTAGGAAATTTTGAATTTTGCCCGGGTGGCGGCAAAAGCCTACTCTTATATATTTTTAGACCGCCAAGGGATTTTCAACGTGCGCAACTTGCACACAGGACCTCCGAGATTTTTCGCCTTTATCTGAGAAGGCTAGGTGTAGATCTTTCTACCAGAAGATCAGGGGTACGGCTGAAAGGCAGCAGTAAGAAGGAGCCAAGGAGAAGCAATAGGAAGGCTGCAGAAAGAACCAGGAGCCCAGAGGAGGTTGCAAAGGAGGTGAGGGGGTGGGGGCAGAAAGTGGACAGAACATTGCTAGAGAGCAGGAAAGGAGGTGAAAGGAGACAATTTTAGAGAAGAAATTTTTTCGTTCGCTACCTGGATTCGAACCCGGGACCTTTGAATGAGAGGCGAACACCTTAACCTCTAGGCCACAAGAGCTCCCAAAGGGGAAATATGTAATGGCCTTGTTTTAATCTTTCTTGTCTGCCCGAACGTAGAAGGACATGCCTCAGCAGTGAACAGGTTAACTATGAGCCTAACTGAGCTGTAGTATAGCTTCAGACAGCAACGTCGGAGAATGACTAATTCGCTGTCCTATGCGGAAGACGTGAGTTCGATTCCCGAGTGGGAAAGCTGTTTTTTTCCAAAAATTGAACATCTTCGTCTGTCTGCTTGGAGGAGAAAGCATGCTACTCAACCCGGTTTGACTCTTTGATCATTTAGGAGGCAGGCTTCTTCGATCGTGTCTGTCAGACTTCCAGCCCCGCTGAGTGGGATACAGCATCCCAGCTGAAGACATCCGGGGATACGAATTTGAACTTATTTCAACACTGCACTGACAGATCAGGTCTTGAGTCCATGGCATTGTGGAGAGAAAATAAATATTCGGTTCCTTTTCCTTCAATTTAGATTTGTCCAAACCCGCGTCTGTGTCGGAGTGGTTAGGCACTTCGCCGTAGAACGCAGACGACTTTATGTTCAGTTCCCGTGTAGGGTGAATACGTATCAAGAATCTGGATCTTATCATCAATATTACTACTACTACTCAGTGGCGGTGGGTGAACCAAGATTTGGGTGGGGCTTAGGTTTCTTCCACTTCTTTACCACCAAATAACAAGCAATAAGAACAAAAAAGTAATGATTTTTCTATACTCACGGCGAGCCACGGCATTTTGAGAACCGATCAAACGAGAAAAGTCACCTTTGTCTTCCATCTCTTTGTTCTACGTTAAATTCTTCTGGATGGTGGGGACAAAGCCGTTTCACCTCCAAATTTTTCTAATTCGTTTTTATTTGATGAAAAAGTTGCCGCAAAAATGGTTTGATGTAATTAATAACTGTTAAATCTCAGCGGCACAAACACACAGCACTCCAAAAACACACCGTCTATGAGGTGGATTGGGTCGTGTTGTTGCAGAAAATAGAACGCGCCTAACAAAGACCCTATGGGCGCATAGGTAACTATGTCACTGGGGGAAAGTGTGTCGTAAACTTTCACCCCATTGTCAGGGCTGGGAGAGCGTGAGCCCTCGGTGCAGTATTATTTTTTTTCAAGTCTTCTACCTTTTTACAAGAGGGGTTTCATTAAGGAGAGACCGCGGGAACGGGCTGGGAGATTGCTGAGCCCTAAAGACATTTGATTGGCTGTTAGACTACTATAATTGTAAGCGGGGACAACAGTGATTGGATAAACGAGCAAACCGCCAATTTCATCACTCTGTGTTCATTGCGGTCGATCAGAACAGTTTCAGTTGCTTATTTCGTTATTTTCATTTGCCTTGGGATAGACTTGGGGGATGGGGAGGGGGGGCTCAAGCCCGTGAGCCCTTCACTACCCACCGCCACTGCTACTACTACTACTACTACTACTACTACTACTACTACTACTACTACTACTACTACTACTACTACTACTACTACTACTACTACTACTACTACTACTACTACTACTACTACTACTACTACTACTACTTTGTTGCTGCTGCTGCTGCTGCTGCTGCTGCTGCTGCTGCTGCTGCTGCTGCTGCTGCTGCTGCTGCTGCTGCTGATGATGATGATGGTGATGATGATGATGATGGTGATGATGATGATGATCCATACGCTAATAAACTGACCTCTAACGCCTTGAGCTGGCTCTCGGACGGTGGCCGTATGTCCCCGCACAGTCGTTTGCGCGCCAGCCCCTCCCTCAGGCCCATGCTCCGTCGCTCCGGCAGATGGTTGCAGATGGGGAAAGGCTTACGGTCCTCCTGGGGCGGGGGTCCGCCGATGCCTCGTGTGTTCCTCAGGGTCACCTTGTACATCTCCATGCAGTTGCCCATTTCGCCTGCACTGCTGTTGTTTTTGGTGGTTTTTTTCGGCGTTAGTATTTTTGTTACTAATTTTAGCGTCAGCACTTTGTTACTATTTTCGGCGTTAGTAATTTTGTTACAAGTTTAAGTGTTTCGACTGTTGTTATTATGTTACGCGTCTGTAATTTTGTTACTAATTTTAGCGTCTGCACTTTTGTTGCTATTTTTGGGCGTCAGTAATTTCGTTACAACTTTAAGTAAGTGTTTGGACTGTCGTTACTAATTGAAGCGTCTGTGCTTTTGTTACTATTTTTAGCGTCTGCGCTGTTGTTACTATTTTTAGTGGCTGCACTGATACTATTTCTATTGTCTGTACTCTTGTTTGTTATTCTAATGGCATACACTGTTCTTACTATTTATAACGCTTACACTACCACCGTAGCTGGTTTTTTTCCTCTTTACTGTTGTTACAATTTCTATCGTCTGCACTGTTACTGATTATTTCGTCTCCACTGTTATTATTCTAATCGTTTGTATCGCTACTATTTTTGTATTATTGATGGCTGTTGATGTTGATTTTCTGGGTTGCAGCAGAAGTTTCTGGACACAACAACTCCTGCTCTATCGTCCGAACCGCTCGCCCTCTTAGTTCTTGCACGTAGAGCTCCCTCTATCGTTTTCGAGTCGCTGGTTTCTGTTTTCTGCTTCGATGCTTCTTATATATCCTCTGGTGCTGGGACACACAAGATGGCGCTGCCGTTGGAGGGATGAGATGGTCACTGCAACGCCGAGGTTTGATTCTGAGAAATGGATGAAAATATTTTTGGGCTTCATTTCCCATTTTGATTACGTTGAACAGAAAAAAATTGATAAAATCATACAGTCGAACCTACTCTAACGTACACCTGTATATGACAGTCACCTGTACAAATGGCCGCTTCCCATTTCTACCCTTGCCATTTTTTGGTTGTTTTTATTTTTGGTTAAAAAACAGCAACTTTATATTGACATTTTGTGAGACATCCATCTGTCTAAAACGTCAATTTTCCCCTTAGAAAGCTTCGACTATACTATAATCGATGATATAGATTAGGTCATTTTGGAGGCAGGCGTTCGATCCTGTCTGACAGGGCCAGCCCGGGCTGAGAGGGATATACGCCATCCTAGCAGAAAGACTAGATAAAATGTGTCCCCACCTAGGCCTTCTCAGTTCTGAGAAGGCCTAAGTCCCCACCCATGAATCGTACTCGGGTCTCCAGCGTGTGACAGCGAAGCGTCAAAGTGATATACCCCAGACGCCGATACGTTATGACGTAGGTTTGCTACCAAGAGCCGCTTCTGTAGGAAACAGTTCCATGCTGTTTGTTTTGTTTAGTACAGGGTTTTACGGCGCTCGCAACTGCATAAGGTCATATGAGCGCGCGAAACACAAGTTGGTAGCATTCGCAACAGTTCACTGTACGGTTGGTCGACAATTAGACTTTAAGATGCTAAAATACTAAAATTCGGTGTAAATATGTTTACAATTTAAAACAACTCTTATAAATAACAATACATTTTTTAAAGCAATATTGTTTCTCTTTATAATTTGCCATAAAGGCCAATGGCCTTCATAAAATTCAAAATTCTGTCGGGACCAAAGACGGTAAAAATGTCTTCCATTTCTTGCATTTATAATATTTCCTTCGGATCTCTCCAAAGTCCAGACATTCGGTTAAGATGTGTCTAATGGTAAGATCTGCGTCGCATCCGACACAGAACGGCTTTTCATCTCCCTGTAGGAGATATTTGTGGGTCAGCATTTATTTGAAAGGCATCACTGAAGTCAATGCTCTATTGAATAGAGTTTTTCTCTGTTGTTCGTATGACACGTGGCTTTTATTGCCATGAGGGTAAGTCTATTTTATCGAGTGTGTCCGCCTTCTTGGTGGGATCTTGTACCTCATTGAGCCGGTATTGGTCCTTTGAAAAGCAAAGTTTAAACAGCTCGCCTCTTAATAATCTAAACAATATCGGTGAGAGCGTAAAACACAGACAATCAAGCAGAAACAGAACTAGATTTAATGTTTTGTTGGTGGGTGGGGGGGGGGGGGTTAAAGGTAGATTATTTAAGCGTGTAGTGTAGTATAAACCTGAAATCGTATCTGTTACTGTTATTTCAGACTGACGTAGTTTTTGTGCTTTTTTAAAAATGTGAGTATTTTACATCCTCATCGACACAAGTTAGGTAATTTGAAAGACAGGCTTCGATCCTGCCTGTCAGAGACAACCCGGGCTGAGAGGAGCACAGCCTTTAGGCAAAAAAACAACCCCGTTGACATTCGAACACTCCCCCCCTCCCCACAAAAACCCACCCACCCCCCAAAAAAAAACCACAACAAAAAA